CTAGACCTAAAAATTAAAAATATTAACAAACACTTACAAAGCTATCCACAAATTTGCCCCCAGCTATATCTCAAACCTTGTCTCTAATTATCACCCTAACCGTCCCCTCCGCTCTTCCAAAGACCTTCTGCTTTCCAGCTCCCTCGTCAACTCCTCCCATGCTCGCCTCCTGGACTTCTCTGCAGTCTCTGCCATCCTCTGGAACCCTTTACCCCAAGCTGTGCATCTCCCACTCTGACTGCCTTTAGGCAATCCCTAAAGACTCATCTCTTCAGGGAAGCCCATCCCACCTTTAACTAACCACTGAACCATCACGTTCTCAAAAATTCCATCCCCACACAGCTACCTCCTCGTGTACCACTTGCCCCTCCATTATAGATTGTAAGCCCTCACGGGCAGGGCCCTCCTTACCATCTTGTCTTGAATTGTATTGTAATGTCTTCCTTATATTGTAAAGCGCTGCGCAAACTGTTGGCGCTATGTAAATTCTGAATAATAATAATAATAACTGAGGGTCAAACTGGTTGAAGCTTTATTCTAACTGGACACTAGCCCCTCAGTAAGGAAGGTATGTATACGAGACAAAAGCTAGTTGAGCCTCGCCTAGGAACCTTTGAAAACTGTCGTTTCCAGGACTTTCGAGTCGAGGGGCTCCCTGGATTGGTAATATTATATTTATGTTGTTTAACACCTGTAACATTTCTTTATTATTATTATTATACTTACAAATTGTATGAATCATTGCACTGTACCCACAAATCTGTAAAGTTTAGCACACAAACTTGCTAAATAAATAAATGTAACAGGGAGTTAACCCTTTGTTACAGTGGGCAAAACAGCCAACACAACAACTACCAGATTGAAGAACTGCAAAAGACTGTCTGCAGCTCAAAGAACCAACTAAAGATAAACCCAGAACTAAAATCAGATGAGGCGGAAATGTTTACCTGGTAAATCTTAGCGAACGTACGAACAGAAGACCAGATGGCAGCCTTACAAACAGAGGCCCGATGCCAAAATGCCTAAGAAGCACTCACAGCACTGGTGGAGTGCGCCTTGACTGTAAAGAGGGGAACCCGATTCTTGAGACTACTGTATAATATTGAAGGTGGAAGCCAGATCACCCTTCCTAGGCCTGTTTGGATAACAAAAAGGGAAAATGTTGTCCTAAAAAAAAAAAAAGCAGTGGTTGGGAGTTAAATGAGAACTATGGGATCCAAGTTTTTCCTGCACTTTTAGATTGCTTAGGATAAAAGAGTACATATTGTAATTTACTCCTATAGATGCATGCTCAGGCCCCATACGTAGGTGTGCAAACTTTGAGAAAGTGCGTCCATACCTGACTTGAAATTTTGAAAAAAAAGCTGAGGACAGGCTGCAATAATTAATGCCCCCTAAGAAGAATCAAGCTGGGAGCAGGGCTGCATGTGGCCATTTTCTGGGTTTTGGGAAGAGGGTATCTTGGTTGTGCTGTGGAAGTGGAAATCTGGAATGCTGCTACTACATTGATGGTAAAGAATATGTTTACTTGGCATTATTCCATAATTCTCCTTTAACCTTAAAATGCCCAGACCACATTCAGA